ACTCCCAGAGTTCTTGGGTGCAACCCGGGCTTTGGGCCCTGCTAGAACTTGTTGCCCTTGGTGGAGAAAAGGCAGCCGGGGATCCTTTTCTCTCTGATGAAATATAAACATCCTGTTCAAGTGGATTCTTCCTTTTGTGTTCACCTCTCTCTCTCTCTCGCTCTCTCTCCCTCTCTCTCTCTCCCCCCCAACTTGGTGCCAGCTCTTGGAAGATCAAAACAACTTGTAAAATTGTTGGAGAATAAAAGGAGAGAAGAAGCATTTCGGGCTTTTGTGTGCGTGTTGCTGAGATACATGCGCCTGTTTCCATTTCTCAGACAGCCCCTTCCTTGCCGTTCTGCTCCAGATAACTCTGAAAAATGCAGCCACAGATCTTGAGAATTATGATGAGAGCCCGACTGTGGCACACGAAGGCCTTAGCTGGGGCCGGAGTTTCCAGAGGCCAACCTGCTCCACTTGGCAAGGAGCAGATGAGATTTTAATAGCGGCAGGTTCTCAGGTCTGCCCTTTCCATTTTCAGTCATGTTCGGGGTCATGCTTGCCTTCAAAATGCGAGTGTGTAATTTCAGAGTATAAGCCCACCTCTTTTCACTAATTTTTTTTTTGCGGCAATTAGATGTGGGTAATGCACGTGGCTTACTCTGGAAATGTACCATGCTCAGCAGTCCACGTTTGGGGCCGGAGTTTCCAGAGGCCAACCTGCTCCACTTGGCAAGGAGCAGATGAGATTTTAATAGCGGCAGGTTCTCAGGTCTGCCCTTTCCATTTTCACCAAATGGAGGCAACGTGACTCATGTTCGGGGTCATGCTCGCCTTCAAAATGAGAGTGTGTCATTTCAGAGTATAAGACCACCTCTTTTCACTAATTTTTTTTGCGGCAATTAGATGTGGGTAATGCACGTGGCTTACTCTGGAAATGTACCATGCTCAGCAGTCCACGTTTCAGGAATCCATACTGAGGCAATTTGCATTTTTCTCTCATCCACTTGAGAGAGGATGTGGAGGGTGTGGGGGCTAAGCTGCTGTTTGAATTCCCAGCCAAGAATTATGTCTTAATGGCACATACTAAATGTCATTGTAATGTTTCAGTGCTCAAGGGTGAGACAGCATGAACGCATATTTTATCTCAGCGACACTCAGTGGCTCATAAGCCATGGCTCTTCTGAGCACCGTTCCCCAATGTGGCCCCTGCTTCATGTTCCAGGGAAATGGGCGAGGCCCTTGACCGGTGGGGACTGTGGATGGCAGCTAGTTCCCAGTTTGAAACAGGGGTAGAAATCAGCGTGGCTCTTTGGGTTGATGAATGTGGCTCTCTGCAAGCCAGAGACTGAATACCACAGTTTTGTGTCCTTGGTGGCTCCCTAGAAAACAGGTGATGTGGCCAAACTGGGGTTCAAATCTGAAAGGTGCAATGGTATTGTGTATGAATGTGTGTGCAACAAGATCGGAACGTTTGAGTTCATCTTGCTACTCCAGTGGCCTCAAGCTCCCTTTGAGCTGCCGAGGCCAGGGCCTTCCCCTGGGAAGCACACACTTGGCCACTGAACCACATCCCACTCCCCACGGTGTGAGTCACTTGACAAGTCCTGAGCTCGCTCACCGGTTTGCAGTCCAGTATCTCTGTTTTCAAGGCTAATGTCGCAGGTTGTGCTGTTCCTCCCTGTTGAAAACAAGCGTAAAGAGTTGGCTGGTTTTTGAATTGACATATCAAATGCCTGCTGGTAATCTGTGTGGTGGCTCAAGTGGTTAAGACGCTGAACTGCAGGCTGTGGAAGGTCGGTAGTTCAGCAGTTCGAGACCCGGGTGCCGCATGACGGAGTGAGCTCCCCTCTCTAGTTCCAGCTCCTGCCAACCTAGCAGTTCGAAAGCAAGAAACTGCAAGTAGATAAATAGGTACCACTTCGGTGGGAAGGGAACAGTGTTCCGTGCACCTTGGCCAGCCACATGACCACGGAAACGTCTTCGGACAGCGCTGGCTCTTCGGCTTTGAAACGGAGATGAGCACCGCAACCCTAGAGTCGGATTCGACTGGCTTTCGAGCAAGGGAACCTTTACCTTTACTAATCTGTGTTTAAGGGAGAGAATGTCACAAGCACCCGCACAGCGAGAATACTGTGGTATGCAGGTTCATGAGTGCCAGGCTTCTTCTTTTTTTTACATTTTATTTAAGTTTTTCCATAACGTTCCAACCATATATTTTTACATATATAATCTTGAGTCTACTTTTCCTCTTTACATTTAATCCAAGCATAAACTCTAGGCCATCTATTATTGAATACACTCTTATCTGACCCATGTAGTATCATTGTTAAGTTGTCCATTTCTGCCACTTCTAACAGTTTATACTGTAACTCTTGTAATGTAGGCAAATTGTTAGCTTTCCAATACTTAGCAATCAAAATTCTTGCTGCTGTTACAGTATAAGTTAGCAAATACTTATCATTTTGATTTAGTCTGTCTGGCATCATGTTAAGTAGATATACTTCTGGAGCTAAATCTAACTTAATTTTTAACATCTCCGCTATTAATTTTTGGACCTCTTTCCAAAATTTATATAATTTTTCACAATTCCACCACATGTGTATAAATGAGCCTACATTGTCATTGAGGCTTAAGCACAGCTAGATTTGAGTCCAGTAGCACCTTAGAGTCTAACAACATTTCAGAAATGTAAGCTTTTGAGAGTCAGTGCTCCTTTCATCAAATATGTCTCTCTTAAGGATATATATTCTCATTCTCTCTCTCTCTCTCTCTCTCTCTCACTCTCTCTCTCTCTCTCTCTCTCATACACATTTATTCATTCACACACCCCAATACATACACAGCAAGGCTGTCTGCTTGTCCTACCACATCAAGGAAGCCCCTCCCCCCCAAATCTGTTTCCTTACCCCCCCAGCTCTGGCACAGCTGGGATCTTGCTAGCAGTGAGATGATATGAAAGAACTGTGTGAATAAGACTGGAAACCAGGGCCTCCTCAGGAGCTCCCTAGGCCCTGATTTAACCACAAGTCCAAACCCCAAATCCTGTCTGAAAAAGTAGTTTTGCAAATATATTTATAGAATCATAGATTCTGTGAATCTATTTTCAAAACTCCTTTTTCAGACATGATTTGGGGTTTGGACTTGTGGTTAAACCAGGGTGTAGGAGCACCTTGCTACAATGCCTGGAGAAACTCTGCACTGTCCAAGACCAACATGTGTCTGGTGTATGGCAGAAGGTGGAACAGATTTGGTTGATGTTGTTCCTCACCCACCCCTCAAGAACATGCATAGGCAGCCCAACAAGTGGAAAGAAAAGAGTTTTAAGAAATGGATTTTAAAGCGTTCTTTCCTCCACCCATATAGGAAGTTATTACATTATGTGTTTTGGGCCCTGTAGAAGTTGATTGCTAAAGTAACTCTTGATGCCAGGGGGATGTAAATGTTTTCAGAAACAGAATCAACTAATTGGATGATATTCTTGTCTTTTTCTTTCAGCTCTGCAGAAGAAGCGGCACCTGGTAGCCATGGAGCCCTGATATTTGGATGACTGGTTTCTCAATTGGAAGGATGGAGTTTGTAGACCACAGTCAGCCAGCTTGCTCTAGGCCAGTTCCGAATGGATACACCAACAAGATGTTTCAGGCGCATCCGAAGGAAAGAAGTGGGGATGTGAACTCTGGTGGCTGCGATAGCAATGCACAGGAAGATGCAGCGAGGCATAAAAAGAAGGCGAAGGGCAGTCGGATTTGGAATTTGGTTAGCCGAAAGAAAGGCACCTCCCTAAATACCAAAAGGCCCCGGTCTATGATCCTCTTTGGAGACAATATGGAGGTCTTGGAACAAAACCATAAGATGTCCTTTATGGACAGGGTGAGATCTTTCAAGAAGCTACGGTCATCTGGCACATCCAAGAACACCTCCAAAAGCAAGCCCACCGCTATCACTGAGGAGACTCAGGAAGATGTTGAACTGAAGGCACGCCACAGAATTAAGAAGCTCAGTGAAAGTCAGCGGCCTTTCCGTCATTCCTACGCAGGCTACATTGAGGATCTGGACTCTTCTTTTGAAGACGTGGAGCTAAACAGCTGTGTGCTAGATATGGACACCAGTGAAAGTAAATGGCAGCGGATTGTTGACATTGGAATAAATGGTGAAGATTCCAGCAATGATGGTCACAGAAATTCAACTCTGAGGAGTGTGGTTTCTGAGTTTGAACATTCTCAGAGACCTGAGTGTGCACCAGAGGACACGCAGAGGAGACACACTGTTGCTGTGCTGGAGAACAGAAAAGGAAGGAGCTCAGATGTCTGGAGTTATCTGAAAGGGATTTCATTAACAAGCAAGGATAATTCGAAGCTACGAGACGAAAGAATCGAGCCGAATTTTCCGGAGCTGGACAACACAACGGATAATTCCTCTTCTTACTTAGACTTTGATTCGAGATGCGAGGAGGAGATGGAAGCTGGCCAGCCTAAAAGACCAAACACAGTTAAAGGCAGTCACTTTGGGGGGGTCCGCCGATTCTTCAGCAGTGTTGCTGAGGTGGCTAGGAAGTGGCGGGCTTCTCCCAAAACGTTTTCGCAGGAAGAGCAAAGGCCCAACTCTGGTTGTGGACATCAAAGGCAAGAGGTCTCTTCCCACCAGCATCCGTCGGCCATTGCAAATGATCATGCCCGAGTTTTCTCGTCTACTGGAATGTGTCCAGATTCTGGCATCGGGAATAAGCGCAGTTCAAAAAGCTCAGCACAGAAAAAGCTGCCTCCAGGAAATGCAAACGTGGAGATTTCTCGAGAAGTCTCCGGTTCTGTCTTCAGTAGTGAGAATGGCGGCTTCAACGAAACGTCCTTTCTGCCCCGTGACTCAAGTTTGTCTGCTTTTCCCTTCTCAGAATTTCCTGATGACAGCTGCGCATTTCTTGGTGTGCATGGTCTAGCTATGGATCTGTTGCCAATAGATGATCCCCTTCTTCATCAAGTAGATCACAGGGGTGTAGGTACTGCTTCAAGAGAAACCTGGGTATTAGATCCTTGGGTCCAGAGTAACAGTGACCACTTGGATGATACTTCAAGAGATACCCAGGGCTTGGATGCACCTTGCTCGAAGGGTCAGGATTTTATTGAAGCTAAATTGGACGCTACAGATATGGAAGGTGCTCCTCTGGATTACAAAAACTGGTGCGACGCTGAATCAGAACTTTCGCACAAGACAGCTGGGAGTCCTTTGGGCCCAAGTGCTGCTGCTGCTGCTGCAGAGGATATTAGACCTTTAGCAAGTACTATGGGTGATGCTCAGCATTTGGCCAGTCTTGTAGCAGCGATAAGGGCTCACCATAGGGCCCCAGTAGGTAATGAATATATTGATGGCATTTCTCAAGGTAGCCCAGATATGGAGTTTACTCCAGTTGACAATCCACACTCAGGGAGAATGCTAGCGGATAATCAGATCCCTGAGAATACCTCCAGCGATAGCCAGCACCTGGTAGACAGTCGGGAGTTAGCAAATACACTGACAGATACCTGTGATCTAGAAAGTTCTCCCTCAGATTCTCAGAACATTAGTCCAGCTCCATCCGATACACAGAGCTTGGGCAGTATTCCAGAGGATATGGACAGTTCCTATATCCCTGCTCCTTTAAGCTGTCCTACCCAAGCACTGGATCAAGAGAATTCCCCCATGGAAGTCAATGGAAAAACCTTCCCATCCAGACAAAGTCCTAAAAGGAAACCTCACTTTAAGTACAGGGAGGTCTGTCACCCGTTCCAGATGAGCCTGTGTACCATTGTCTCCTTCAATGAATTCAACAGCGGAAAGGTAAGACCTCGGTGACGTCTAGCAGTCTTCTCAACTTTTCATTATCAGGGAAGAATGGATTTCTTGCTCTCCATTTCTTTATTGTTCTGTGGACGTTTCATATTGAATTCTGTTCCTCTTTAATGCTGGTGTAACGAGGGCGATTGTAAAATTAATTCCATAACTGGGGCATGTGCAGTTTGCTTAGGTTTTCAGTTCCTGCTTCAGCTCATTTGCATCTTCTTCTCTGCTCCTCCCCAAAATGTTCTTCATGTTCTTGGGTGTGTTGATAAAACACTGCAAAAAAAGAAGAAGAAGCGGTATTATTTCATGTATGATTGAATCCAGATTCTTTCAGTGTGGTGTTTTACTGAATGCGCACACAGGCTTCTGTGCAGTGGTAAAACACAAAGAATTGTAGTCATACAACTGCATCAAGATTGCTTTTTTGCAGTGTTTCGTCAATGTGCATGCAAGCACTAGCAACATGGAGAGAATGTACAAATGAGCTGGAGAAACTGAAATCCGGATTTCAAGTGAATATGCACAAGACATTGTGTGAAATGTCTTGCACAAAAGCTCTGTGATAAAAAGCACAACACTGGAGGATTCCTAATGCGTTGGTCTGACTTTAGAAACAGGACCCAGTTAGTTCAAAACTCCCCAAACCGGGAGAATTTCGGAAGCACCTGACTCATTGCAAGTTGCAACCTGTTTCTTCCTATCTTTCTCCCTTCCTCTTTAAGCAATGCTGTTGTTACACTCTGTCAGTTTTAGACACAGCTCAAGTGTACAAATGTACAGTGTTCCTTTGTATACAGGGGTCATTTCGTAGAAAAAGATGTGCAGGAGCTCATTAGCATAGCTTATTAGCATAACTTATTTGCATATGCCACACACCCTGACATCACCGGAAGTGTGTCAGAAGGCAACACCCACTGCTCAGGCTCCACTGGACTGTGCACGCAGATCTGTCCTCGCAGAGGAGGGAGAGCTTGTACCTGAATAAAACTTAGTCTTAAAGGTGCCACTGGACTGTTTTGGACCGGGGGGGGGGGACAGTGGAAGCTCTGCAGCTTACCTGGCTGCTTCTTGCTCTGACTGAGGGCTGCTGGGAGCAGGGGGTGGGGCTTGTTGCATGTGCCCACCCCCTGGGCTCTTTACTGCAGGAGCTCCACTCCTGTGCGCTCCTGCAGGAAATGACCCCTGCTTGTATACATATGAGCTTTACCGAGAAAGGCCACAGACTCTACTTTTTACATGGCTGGATTTTTTGGTTTTGCTGTTCCCCCCTCCTCATGTGTATAAATGGTTGCAAACTGCACTTCACATCTCTGATGCTGTGTTCCTTAATGCCACAAGTTGCCCACGTGACAGGTCGTGTCGTATACTGGTTCATGTCCTCACTTACGGAACTTGTTGGGTGACCTGGGCCAGTTCTAGCTTAAACTACCTCACCAAGGATGTTATGAGGAGAACAGGGAAGGAAGAACCTTGTAGACCGCTGTGAATACCTTAGAAGAAGGGTGGGTTAAAAAATGTATGAGTATATAAATAAACAGAGTGAGCCTACAATTATCTAAGAAAGAGGAAGGCTGATGTTAGATGTCCTGGCGATGCCGCATATTTTTCAAGTGCTTTGGATGCTAATGAGGAACAACATGGCGGCTTTTCAAATCAGGTCTGCAGTTCTCAGGTGGGAGGGAACGCTTTCCTCTGCTGCTTACCCAAATCACACACACCCCCTCAGTTGTATCTTGCCCTCCAGGGGGGAAATACAAAGCTACCTCTTTGTTTTGCCTGGAGGCTGGAAGAGGCAAATAGCAGCTGTGGTGGAGAGGGTGTGTGTGTGTGTGGAGTCCGTGGCCATGCTCCTTTTCTAGGGTGCCTGCATGCTGGAGAAGAGATGGTTAAAAAGAGTGCTGGCTTTTCCCTTTTCCCGTCCAGGCCAGAGATGCACCTGCGTGTCTTGTCCGCTCCGCTTCTTCCTCCACCTGAAAGAGAAGGAGGAGAGAGATTGCCAGGGTAGCTTTAAAGGAAGGAGAAGGAGGCGATTCCTGCAGCACCGAAGAAGGGGTGCAGAGCAGTGTTCCCTCTAAGCTGAGTTAGTGTGAGCTAGCTCACAGTTTTTTAACCTCCGGCTCACACATTTTTGTCTTCGCTCAGGAAGGATGGCTCCAGAGCAGACTAATTTATGCAGCAGCCAAATGGCTCGCTCACAACATTAATGCCGGTAGCTCACAAAGTAGAATTTTTGCTCATAGGGCTCCATAGCTTAGAGGGAACATTGGTGCAGAGCTACTTTGAGCGGCCTGGAGAGTGACTGGTCACTCCCGAGTGGCCTTCCGCCCACCCCTTCTGAAGGTGCCCCAAGACCCCTTGATGCATAAGGAGCCATGCTCTTAGCAGCCAGGAACCCACAGGAGCCTCACATGCCCCCACACACAGGCAGTGCCAAGCTCTGTGGCTCAGCCTTGTGTGTTTTTGTCTTGGGGGTGGTGGTTGTGTTTTCTGCTCCCCAGTCCTTGCAGCTAATTAAACAGTGGGCACGCTGACTGGAATTTCGCACCCTTGTGAGCTTTTCTTTCCCAAATACAGCCTGTTTTGTAGCGCCTAGCTGGTGGAGCCGAGAGTTTGGCCCACCAGGCCTCGCTTCCGTCTGTTCTGTCTGTGGGTGGGCGTTTTCTGTCTCTTTGGCAGCCGTCCCCGTTGAAACGCTGTGTTCATCAGTGGCTGAGCTCCCCTCTGGCGTGACCCGCCTTCCTTCCCCGTATGGCGAGGTTTTTAAGGCCCTGTCCAATTTGAAACACGACAGGACTGCTTGTTTTTCGTTATTCTTTATTTTATTTTTATTTTTCGGATTTTTATTCCACTCTCCCCAAAGCAGGCTCGGGATGGATCGCGATAAGCAGACTCAAAGACTCGTTACATGAAAATTACATTACATTAAAATCATTAAAACGGTAAAACCCAGAGGTAGCAGCAAATTACATTAAAAGGAGAAGGCTGTTAGGGCCATCTAGGTGGAGTCAGCGAGTCCTTCAGTAGCTTGGGAACGGTGGCAAGTCAAATAGGGTCACCAGTTCTGGGTTGGTACCTTCCTGGTGAGATGGGGGTGAAGTCTGGGAAAGGGAGGGTGCTCAGTGGAGCTGTTGTCATCAGGGTTGTCAGCTCTGGGTTGGGAAATACCTCGAGATCCTGGGGGTGGGGCCTGGGGAGGGAGGGGCCTGGGGAGGGGAGGGGCCTCTGCCGGGTGTCCTGCCACAGAGTTCATTCTCCAAAGCCGCCGTTTCCTCCAGGGGAACCTGCTCTCTGTCATCGGTGAATCAACTGTAATAGCAAGAGATCTCCAGGCCCCACCTGGAGGTTAGCAACCAACATTGCCAGGAGTAGTCATGGAGTAAGTCGGGGAGGCTGTGGACTGTTCTTCTCTAAAGGGGTTCAAGAAGCAGGAGGGGGGTGCTGTGGAGCCTGGCGCATCTTCAAGCCAGCGGGTCGCATCCAGTGCGCCACCGGGTATCTTTGCACTGCCAGTATGGAAATGAGGCAGCAGAAGGGAGAGTCCTACTTCACAGGGAAGGCGCCATGATCACATGCCCCTCTGGCCAGGCTAGCATGGGGCTCTAACCCAGCCTGCTCTTTGCTTTGCTAGTATTCTGCTTCCTCAGAGGTCATTATTTATTTTTTTTAAAAAGACACACACACATACTTGGAATCATCTCATTGTGTGGCATGTGTTGACCAGTCCTTACTTTGAGGATGGCACCGGCTGGCCCAAAACACCCATTGTCAGGCAGGCTCTGAGCTCATCGTTTCATCAGAGAAGAAGAGGAGGAGGAGGAGATTGGATTTATACCCCGCCCTTCACTTGGAGTCTCAGAGCGGCTTACAAGCTCCTTTCCCTTCCCCTCCCCACAACGGACACCCTGTGAGGGAGGCGGGGCTGAGAACTCTCCCAAGAACTGTCCTTGAGAGAACAGCTCTGGAGGAACTTGTGACTGACCCAAGGTCACACCAGCAGCTGCATGCGGAGGAGTGGGGGGACCAAACCCAGTTCTCCCAGATTAGAATCTACACCAAACTGGCTCACTTCAAAATATCCCTGACTGCGTCCTAGAGTTGCCAAACTTCAGGCAGGGCCTGTAGGTCTCCCAGCATTACAACTGATCTCTAGACAACAGAATGTTTCCCAGGAGAAAACGGCTGCTGTGGAGGGTGAGGTCTATGTCGTTACGCCCCGTCGAGGCCCCTCCCCTCCCCAAACCCCACCCTCCCCAGGCTCCACCCCCAAACCTCCATTTCCCAACATGGAGTTGGCAACCCCAGCCGCAGCCCAGTAAATCTGGAAACTGCTCCGGATCGCACTCTCTAACTTCCAGTAACTTTCCTGGGAACTGTGGCTGAACCCCCCCCTCCCAATTTGCTCCCCTGGCTGCATCAGAATGGCTTTCCAGGGCAAAGGCAGCGACAGGGTACAAAACGTGTTTATTTTGTCCTGTTGTCGCTTATAAAAACATGGCCTGGCCCGAGATCGTACTACAGGAAAGCTCTCCCCCCCCCAAAAAAAAAAATCGGATGAGGGCAAGGGTTCAAGATGATAAGAGCCACCTATTGACTCTTCCGGCCTCAGGAATGCAGGATCCTTTGCTATTTTGGGTGAGCAGGACATTAAGGCCAAAAGGCACAGAAAATAACAATCCCCAACTCATTTGCAATGCATTTTGCAGGCCTGGAGAAGAGGTATCTCGAGAATCAGAAAGCCGGCTATAGGTCACCGGCATTCTAGTGATGGGCGCAAGCAGAGCGCCTGGCAGTGGCCCTCCAGAGCAGTGTTTCCTCTAAGCTGAGTTAGTGTGAGCTAGCTCACAGTCTTTTAGCTTTTGGCTCACACATTTTTGTCTTAGCTCAGAAAGGATGGCTCCAGAGCAAACTAATTAAACTAATTTATGCAGTGGCCAAATGGCTCGCTCACAACTTTAATGCCAGTAGCTCACAAAGTAGAATTTTTGCTCACAAGACTT